GAAACAACATCTTATGTTCATCTCCATCGTATAAGGCATTGTAAAATCCATGCACAGTAATATTTGGACAACTGAAAGAAACAAGCAAAAAAGAGAAGTGGGCAATGACTTGCACCAAATGTATCGCCAAATATAATCAAACTTCATGTTTTCACAGTGTGGCACCTCTTTTTGGTTATTTTGTAAGCAGTCCAATGCAGAAAGCAAGAGCACAAGATTTACTAACAAGTAACAACATGAGATATCCTAGAATTTATGATTAAATGTATGCATTATTAGTGATACTGGGTAGCAAAAGTACATAAGATTGCTAACCTGGCCACATATTTTGCCACACTGGGGACAGTGTGTACGTGCATAAAAAGCTTGCGGGCATCACCAATTGTTCTGTTGGAGAGGATATAAGGCACACCCTTGTCCCAGTCACACTCGGTGCGAACAAAGTAGCACCTAACAGAAGAAGTGCATTTCTTGTTTCTCTCTTTATTTTTTTCCGCTTTTATTCTCCTCTCCCTCCCTCCATCTTTGTGAACTGACGATAAAGGCATACCAGTCAAGACCATGATACAACTGAATCAATTTGTAGTTATAAATGACGAATGACCTTTTTTACAAAGATATAGTAGCAGTAACAGTACAGAAATTTTCCGTGCTGACTTGATCCATAGTAGCACTAACGGCATTGACAAGTCGGTGCCGTTTTCAGCATGATATTCTTTGCAGGAGGTCAGGAACTCAGGAATTAAATTTTTGGAAGGGTTGAGAAAGGGCAAAAGAATCAGAGACGAGGGATTATCTTATTGCTTCACTACTGGAATCGCCACCAACGCTGAGTGCCAGAAACACTCGGCAAAGGCCACCCGGCGTACACCTCTCAGGCAAACAGGAATTTGCTGAGAGGGCCCGAACACAGGCACTCGGCAAACTCTTTGCCAAGTGCCAAACAGTATGCATCGGCAAAATAAAGGGACTCACGGACGACAGACGGAAACGGAGGTTGCCATGTGGTATCTCTTTGCAAAGAGTGGCTCTCGGCAAAGCTAGCCAATAGGAAGCTATCATGTGGCAACCGCCTGACAAGCGGGTCCAACAATATACGCCGAGAGCGGCTCTCGGCAAAGTGAGCGAATAGGGAACAGCCATGTGGCGAGGACCTGACAGGCGGGACCCACACCGTACACCGAGAACTCACTTTGCCGAGAGAGACGCTCGGCAAAGCCAGCCAATAGGGAACAGCCACGCGGCAAGAATCTGACGGGTGGAGCCCACAACATACGCCGAGCACTATCTTTGCCGAGAGCGACGCTCGGCAAAGCCAGCCAGTAGGAAATAGCCACGTGTCCACTACCTGACAAGCGGGTCCCGTGCCTTACGCCGAGCCCCAACTTTGCCGGCAGCCACACTCGGCAAAGCAAGCCAATAGGAAACAGTCACGTGTCAACCACCTGACTACCGGGTCCCAGAACATACGCCGAGTGCTGCCTTTGCTGAGAAATCAGCCCGGAAGACACTCTTCAACGTCAAGCACACGCTGCGGTACAGGGCCGTGATGCAATGCCAGTCGCTCGATGACAAGGGGCTTAAGATGACGAGGAAATCTGCTTGCAAGACTAACTTGGAGAGAAGAATACTTGTCGGTGGTAAGTGACAACATTGGTTGCTAGTACTTTGAGTCATCCGCCGCTTGTTACATGCATTAGTCAATGATTTGATTATGTCTGACTAGGTGAGGGAACCCTAGATCAAGGAAGATTGTTGGAAGGCCCTGGTTGACATGTGGTGTGACCCAGCATGGTAGGCGCAACATGTGGAGAAGGGGAACGATCGCGCGAAAATGCCTGGCCCGGCACATGTCCAGGGGAACGAGCCGCAACCTAACCACTCTGAAGCAACACATGGTATGTGGAATAAGATGTTAACTTTTTCGCACGGTGCATCTCCGTTCATTAAGCTTGATGGTTACTTTTGCAGGAGGCGGAGCTTGGTCGCCCAGTCCACATCCTAGAGGCCTGGAAAGAAGGCCACAAGGGGAAGGATGGCGCCGAGTTCTGTAGCCTCTCGACGAAGGAGGTACGGGACCTTCAAAGAGGTCTTCCAGGAGATGCACGGGCAGGACGCCGAACCTACGTCCAAGCCACTTAATCCTGAGCTGCTCATCATTGCTGCCGAGGGGAAGGACCATGGCTGCCACCTCCTTTGCAACGGGGCGATCGCAAGCTCCATGAAATATGCGCGTCGAGCACAAGCTCAACTCCGTCCATACAGAATCGCCCAACCGCCGCGTCACGTGAGATCACGCATCTCAAGGTTAGCATCATAACCATTCATTTATGTCCATGTCTCGAAATACCACCCTTGCAACCTATATGAGCCTAATGCCATATTACAGGCTTTATTGGACCGGTGGGCTGCTGAAGAGGATCAAAGGCGGCAAGCTGAGCAAAGGCGACAGGCTGAGGAGGAGAGAAGAGAGAAGGAACGAGCAGAAATGAACGAAGGTTCAAACTGCTCGAGAAAAGACTAGAGGTAGAACATTCTCTAAATTTGGCCCATTCATTATATAGCGATGAACAATGCTCACATGACTCTAATCTTATAGGCTCTTATAAAATCTCAAGGCGGTGGAAATGATGCCCCTCCTCCTCCTCCAGAAGGTTAACCCCATGGAAACGATGCCCCTCCTCCTCAAGGCGGTGTATGAAGATGTGAACTTCTGTGTGATGTGCATGTGTTCTGCAATATGTGAACTTCAATGAATTAATCCTGTGTATGAATATGTGAACTTGTGTGTGATGCGCTCGAGCAATTTTTTTGCTCTATGAACTTGTATGAAACAATGGCCTATGTGAACTAGTTTGAGTTACCTTATGTGAACTAGTTTGAGTTATGCCTCTGTGTGTGATGTGTTGCTCCAGAAATTTCTAGGGAGCTCCTAGCTCCTACATTCATTTGATATGATAACATTTGCTGCACTGAAGATATAGACATAATATGTATCTAGTTGTTTTCAGATGCAGGGAGTAGATAAGAAATAGCTTCACAACAGAAGCAATGGGACATATTACCGAGAGCAACACTCGGAAACACTCACTTTCACGAGCGTTGCTCTCGGAAAAGGGTCGCCTGAGCACTTTAACTACGTAGTGGTTTTCTATTCCGAGGGACGCTCTCGGAAAAGAATGGCA